CTCTCATGACTGTGGGGTTGCTGCAACAGTCATAAGTGTGAAAAATGGTCATAAGTCACTTTTTTCAGTGCCACTGTAACTTTGAATGGTCACTCCACACAAGCAAAGTACCAGCAAAGGAGGGGGGGAAAACTCCAGAGAAGTTCCTGAGACAGGAAGTCTGGTCCTGCCAAGAATGTAATAAGGGTTAACGGAGAGGCAGCTTCTGTAAGCAACACCAGAATGTTTCCTTCCCACCTTCTTTACAGGATTAGGCCAGTAATTTCTTCTAACAACCGGTTCTCCGAACTGCTTAGAATGTTAACAACCGGTTCTAGCGAATAGGTGTGAACTGGTAGAATCCCACCCCTGACAGGCTGTGAAAGTCCTTTCTCTCATGAACAGCAGAGTTTGGTGCCCTCTGGAAGTAAGATAGTAGGAGCAGGAACTACAAGGCTGGAGAAACTACAAGCTACTACTACAAAGCAGGAGGTGGGCCAGGATGTGAAGACCTAGGCCCAGAGGATTTCAGGTGGGGGCCAGGACAAGCCTCTCAGCTTCCACCCTGTAGCTCAGTATTCCACCAGAGTTTTTGAAAGAGAAGAAATTTTGGCTAGGTCTACAAACTATTATGTGTTGTCTCTATTTTTCTAAAAGTTTAATATGAAAACTTTGACAAAAGCAGTGATAAATGGCAGAGGTCATTATCCTTATGACAGTATGACAAATTTGGCCTATGGAAGATTGTCACTTAGAATGTAAGAGGAGTAAATGGTCAGGAGCATATTAAAGAAAAATGCATGCCATATATTGCAAAGATATATCTTTTGTGTTGTAAAAAGAAATCTAAGACAAAGGGACAGAATGTAATACAATTCAGTGAAGATGCTCTGATCTTGTGGAATGGAACAGATGAATATTCCTGTGAAGTGAAAGTGTAGATTTAATGATGAATGAAAGAACTAAAATGCATGCCAGAAAATATGAACATGTGTCATCTGGATTGTTGTGGATGCATATGAAAGGAGGAATGCATAGAATGATTATAGTTGCATGTTAAGTTCCAGTGAGTCATAATAATGGAAGAACCAGAGATGAGTTTAGAGGGAAATTGTGCAGCACTGAAAGAATGTGATCCAGGGAGAAGGGTTATTCTGCTTGATAACATGCTTTGAGATAATACTTTGAGTGAGGAATTTGATTGGTCTAACCATGTGGAATTACCTCAAAGTCTTAAATCACAATTTCACATGTGCTTACATAGGTATATATTTATTTATATAATAGCCTCACTGAGATTTCTGTATATTCCTATTCATGTACCTAAGTAGCTGTATTATAGACAGAAGATATTTCATACTTCCTAAATGAGAAATTGTCTCTTGCTACAACCAGTGGTTAATAATTTTCATATTCAAGAACAACTTTACTGCCTCCTCAGAATCCAAAACCCCATACATTTCATGGACAAAATATTGCAATGACCTGTTAGAAGAAATATCCTTCTGGGTTCAGTTCCAAGTAGGGAAAAAGACACTGGAAACATGGAGGCTGTTTGGAAAGATGGTTTAATGGTGGATAGGACCACATGGCTTAGAGCTCCAAAGAAGGAAGGATGATCACATGCTTCAAGATGAAGGAAAATAAGGAAGGGAGGGCTGAGATACTGAAAGTGCCTGATTTTTATACCCTCTGTTGGGATTTGAATTTGAGCTTGTATTCTGATTGGTTGTGAGACTCCCATGGGGCCATACAGGGACAACTCTGTAGGCTGTCCTGAGTCCCAGGCTTAGTTGAGCATTGCTTGATGATGCATGAGCCTTGATGATGATGTAATGAAAGGGCTTTGGGCAATTCCTATTAATAGCTCTACCTGGAGATCTTTGTTATATAAAATAGGCTGGCCTAGGCTAGAGCAGCGGTTGCCAACTGGTGGGCTATGGCCCACTGGTGCTCCATGAGAAAATTTTGGTGGTCCACAGAGAAATGTCACCCCCAGACCCCCCCAAAGCAATTAATCCAGGCTGCGCAGGGACACAAGACTGCGCCGCCCACATGGCCCACGGGAACCCACCCCACCCACTTACTCCTTACCTGGCAAACTTGTCTGCTAAGGTGCCATTTTTCCTTTTTCTGACCATCAGTTGTTCTGCTGTGCCGGGAGATTTAGATTAGCTAGAAAGCAGGAAATCGTTGCATTTCTTGCTTTCTAGCTAATCTTTAGATCTTCGGCTCTGCTTTTAAGAGCCTTTTAAGCAGAGCTGAACCTCCCTTAGGACTGAAGGTTTTATTATTCAGTTGCAGACTCAGATAGCCAATGGCAGAAACACAGATCTCTCTAAGTGAATCTGTGATTCTGTGAGCAACTCAATCTGCCTGCTTGCTTTGCCTGATTTTGGGTAAAAGTTGCTCTTTTTTATTAAAAAATAATAATCAAGATTTACATACGTGGTGTGTTGTGAGTTAATTTTGTGAGTTTGCTTGCTAGCAAATTTTATGAGTTTGCTTGCAAGCAAATGTTATGAGTTTGCTTGCAAGCAAATTTTATGTGACAGATTCAGCTAGCCGATGGCAGATAGATAGATCTCTGAATGAATCTGTGATTCTGTGAGCAACTCAATCTGCCTGTCTGCTTTGCCTGATTTTGGGTTAAAAGTTGCTCTTTTTTTATAAAAAATTCAATATTTACATAAATATTTATAATTGCATACAAGCCATGCCCAGCCAGTCACATGACCATGAAACCATACCCACAAATTAGGCCACACCCACAGAATTGGTTGTTAAGAAATTTGAATCCCACCCCGGCCTCTGTGTGTGTGTGTGTGTGGGAGAGAGAGAGAGGGAGAGAGGTTAGATCAGATCTCTCTTTCTCTCTCTCTCTCTCTCCCATCAATGTCAGCAAGCCACCATCAGTCAAAATTCACATTAGTGGTCCCTGGTATTTAAAATTATGAGTTTGGTGGTCCCTGAGGTCCAAGAAGTTGGCGACCCCTGGGCTAGAGTAATGGCCCATTAGCAAAGGGGGGGGGCTGAGTTTCTGCTTCTGAGGTTTCTGCTTCTGAGTTTCTACTCGTTTTAGGGGAAATAGTCTGCCTTTTTAATATTTCCTAGGATATTTCATTTTTCTAGGAGAGGGGTGGGTGATAACTTCTTACATACCATAGCGGGAAGTCAAATAACAAATAAGATAACTATGTTTAATCTGCTCTTAAGCAAGATTTAGAGTTTATGGGTTTGGGGGCTTATGAAACATTGCTTTCTTCTGTTTCATGGTATGGAGGGAAACTACTTTCAAAGGAGACAGAAGACAGAACTACCATGTGTAATTTGGATTTCCAAATTAGATGGCAAACTGAAGGTGGCTCTGCAGAAATGTTGCTGACAATTGCAGCAAAGACCAAGGAATGGGTGAATAGATCAATTCCCTGGAACCTCTCAAATAAGAAGAGGAATTAGTTCTTGCAAGGAGGACAGTGGTTTTCCTTTGGGACGAGGGCCAGGAGATAATGGGATTAGTCATTTTTTTCCCATAACCACAACAGATACTTTTAAAGGATACTAAATTCTCAAATCTCACTTTCTCACTTTCAGGAATTGGTCATTAACTATTTTAAAGCTATTAGAGACGTTCAAAATGTCAAGTGGGAAAATGCTGTTTTAGCCTACCTTCAGACCCAAACAAAAACATTTATAATCATAACCTTAAGAATTTAATGTTGTAAGCCACCCATAGTCTCCTTGTGGCGAGATGGGTGACAAACAAATTTAGTAAATAATAAATAAACTTTCTTTTTACGACCCTATAATCCCTTAATTCAGGTAGATTCAGGGTAACTGGCTGGAGCTGAACATTACTGACCGAATGTCCTTCCTGACGCCATATTAGATATTTTTTTTCTTTGCACTCTAGAAGAAAAACATCTGCGGCTCACTAGGATTGAACTTTCAACTTTCCAAATGGGAAGTTTGTGTCTTCATAACTAGGCCACCACAAACAATAAAAAAATAACAATTTAAAGCAGAGGTCTCAAAACTTGGCAACTTTAAGACTTGTGGATTTCAATTCCCAGAATTCCTCAGCCAGTATCTGAAATAAACAGCAAACAGATAAGCAATTTCATAAGTTCAAAAACTGGACACTAGAGGGAACTAAAGAGGAAAGATTAACAAGCCTATGAAATTTTGCAAAACAACAATACTGAATGAAATTTTTGAAGAATGGAATTAGAAAATAATAGCAACAATATCAATAGTGTCAGTATGATAGCTATTTCTATGGATAGACTGTTTAAAGGATGTTATTGAAAAAATGAAAGATGTAGAATAAATTTTATCTGACAAGATAGAAATGGTATTGAAAGTGGATTTACAATTGACAGGACAAGAGAATGGCTTATAAAAGGATCTTTCACTGGATCTACAAAGAAACTAGCTGAAGTTTTCAAATTTAAAAAGGAAGTACAAATGATAAACCAAAGGTGTGGCTTGGATAATTTTTTCTTATTGATTTACAAAAGAGAGTTGCTAGAGCTTTCAAGAACCCTGGAATGGGGCAAGTAAGAAATTATGAGAAATTATGGTAACATTTTAACGAATTAAAGATTAAGATTGTTTGAAATAAAAGGAAGTCAAACAAAATTGCACAGTCTCTGGTAAATATAAAGGGATACTAACGAGAAAGTTGTTGCAGTTTTTTTGTACAAATCCATTATATCAGATTTTCCATCATAAAGAAATTGGTGATGCTTTATTAGACCTTACCAACCATGCACGGGAAAATTTACTCAGACATAAATACTGCATTCACAATGAGAAGAGAATGTACAGTGTATGTTTTGAAATTCCCATGCTCTTTGAAATTCCCACGTTCTTTACGCACCAAGCAAATCTACTATCAGTTATTATCACTTTGCACTATGATTAGATAACAAGACAATGAAACATCTCGATCCACAGACTATGGCTTTCAGGAGACAAACCTGGTGGATTTTAGGGTATTAGATACTTGGTCTTGTTGTAGTTGCATCAGTCTCTTTGTTGTTTAATGTCTACTACAGTATTCTAAAATGTGACCAACAGTGGCAACCAGGGGAATTTTGCTTGTTTCTGTATATTGACAAGCAATAACACTGAGGTTATTGTAGTAGTAATTGTTAGCATAGCTGACTTGACTTGGCGAAAGCTGGCTGAGAAAGGTTGCTGATGGAGATCACATGACCCTGAGAGATTGCAACCAAAACGTGAGGAACGTAAATCATTTTTGTTCAGTGCCATTGTAATTTTGAATGCTCACTAAATGAATGGTTGTAAGTTGAGGACCTATATAGACAACACCAGGACAGATAGTATAATTATTGTTCTTAATAGAAAGCATGGCCAGCATCATAGGGACAAAAGTAAAACTGTAGTTGTCAGAATGTCCCAATTATGCTGTAAATAACTACTATAAAAAAGGCTTAGTAACAGCAATGAGGCACTTGCTACAAATTCCTTCTAATAAATCAGTGAGTTTTCAGGAAAAAGGAGAATCTCAAATTTTTGTTAATATTGCAACATCAGTTTAGATCTGGTTTTTTGGTATTATCTTGTGGCAATCATTTACGCTTCCCACACCCACAGGTAGCACTCACTAGCTGTGATAAGTTGGGAAAACTTCTTCATTGAGATGCATAGCATTTATGGAAGATGGTTAATGCAGCCCAGGGGCAAAGTCCTTCCCACCAGCTGCTTGGAAATAGTTTTTCCTTAACCCACATAGCAATCAAGCTTTAAAAAAACGACCAGTTGCTGTTAAGGCACAGGTGGGGTTTTAGGGAAGGTCATGAATGACAAACTGCTCTTGTCAAATGCCGCCGTTCATTTGAAACATCATTTCCTATGCTCCAAACAGTCTCTTTCAAAACCTCCACCAGTTCTAATGTAAGCTCTGAAAAATTGTGGTTGATGTATGTATACAAGAAAAACAAGTACATACGAAGGAACCAAGTATGCGTCTGTCTGGGTGTATGTGCGCAAGCAAGAGAAAGGATTGAGTGTGTAAGAGAGAACTCAGACTTCCACTCGACTAATGTTCAGGAAAACATACTAAGCTCTAACCACTGCAGGCATGCAGCTGACCTTTTTGCCCAGAGTCAAATTTGCCTTTGGGCTCATTATAATGAAAGTATCAGGAACCTCTAAAATGAAATAGGCCCTATGAACAAACTGGAGCATATAACAAACTGAACTCTGTTCCTAAAAGGATATTCCAATTTTGAAATGAGGTTCCAACTCCAGATCCTCCTCTTCCTCCTTCAAGTCTTGATTGGGCACAATATAGTTATCTTCTATAAAACCATCATCATCCTCCGGATAGCACTCAGAAGCTGGTTGGTTCCTCCCATACGTCATGTCCATGTCTCTTTCCTCAATATGGCTGCTTCCAATGGAGCGAGAATCGGGCAACCGTTGATGATGATAGCTGGCATGCTTTTTCTGGAGCAATTTGCATTTGACAATCAATGCAATCAGGAGAGAGATGGTGATAGCCAAAAGCACAAAACCAGCAAAGTAAATCCAGTTTTTCCCAGCTGTTTGAGTAGAAGGGGTGGTAATAGCTGCTGCTGCAAAGAAAGGTTATAAGATACAAGAGCTATTAATGTACTGGAAGACCTGTGGTAGCTGCAGCAAACTACAATTAGGCCAAAATGATAATGTGTGCATGGTGATGCCATCATGTACATGCTACCATTACCATTACTTGTGTTCTGATATGTGATGCAACTATGTGAGATGTGGCATTTGCATCATGGTAATAGCCCCCACTTGCCGCCATATGTCCCTGTGGGTGATCTGAGCAATACTATCTTTTAGTTACACTTCCAAGCTTCAGTGTAATTTTTACTAAAGGCCACAACTCTATACATGAAATGGCTGTATTTTGAGTTGGCACTGGCCTATTTGGATGTGGTACAACCCTTGCTCCAAAGCATGGCTTTTTTAACATCGCGCTGAACTATTAACTAAAAACGTAGGCTGGGCTTCTACATAATGTTGGGCAAAAATGTGTTTTGGTGTGTTATGTGATCCCAACCATATCTGCTTTTCATATTCCCTAGTGCGGCATTGACAAACCTTTTTGGCACCAAGTGCCAAAATGGATGTGCATGCGCAGGGGAGAGTGCCAGAAACCGGAAGAGCAGCTCTCCAGTATGTGTGGCCACCTAGTCTTCTGGTTTCTGGTGCACATGTGTGCGCAAAGACCATGTGGAACAGTGGTGGGATTTTATTTTTTTTCACTACCAGCTCTGTGGGTGTGGCTTGGTGAGTGTGGCAGGGGAAGGATACTGTAAAATCTCCAGTCAGAGGTGGTATTTGCCAGTTCTCCGAATTTCCGCTACCGGTTCTCCAGAACTGGTCAGAACCTGCTGAATACTACCTCTGATGTGGAATAAAAAACATACAATTGTGTTATTACTCTGAATCTACAAGGTTGGAATCATATATTTTGCTTCACTTACTAGCATTTTCTAGTGATGATGGGTTCTTCGTAGACACAATATGAAGGAACTGAAGTTTTCTTCTGTGGCTCACAGTCTCATAATCTGAAGGTCTGATTTCTTGAATCTGGAGTTCTATATTTAAATGATAGACAATCTGTTTAAGAAATAACTTCACTGTTTGTTTCTGTTGCTCTACATTTTCTGTATCTTGTACAGAGGTGGATTCATAAACTGTACAGATGCAGAGAGATAACTCAACAAGACGTCCATAACAAAGAACATTTATTGGTTCATCAGGTATCCTCATAACTCACGTTTGTGATGAAGTTCTTTTTTTTAATGACCAATCCTTTGTATATCTGCCTTGTAGTAAAAGATGGTTATCTCCTAACCCATCTCGTAGCAATAGAAAGAAGGTGCCATGAGTAAGAGAATTCAGACAAAGAATGAGGAAAACTTCCCCCAACCCCTCGAGGGTCAAACTAGTGACCAATCAGGATTACAGATGTGGTCACGTGACATGAACTACATTTCCCAGGATACCTTTAACTACATTTACCATGATGCATTCCCTTAAGGGGACAGCTCATAATTCCTAAGTAACTATCCAATTCCCATAGACTGGCTGGGACAGCACACTACATCTTGATTTATGTTGGTTCTTACATTTCATTGATAAAATATGCAAATGTTCTTTTACAAAACTTTAAAAGGTAAGAAAAACTTTTTCATTTATAATCTTAGGCTGCTCAAATATCCTTGTTTTCATTTTTAAATTGCCTACCAGATATTTTTGCATTTCAGTCCACTATTTAACTGTTAGGATATAATACACGAACATGTTGACTGAGTTCACGTATTGCATTAAACTATAATTTATTTTTGCTTTAAGATGAAGTATAACCTAAACTGCAGTAATTCTTAAATCACAGTGATATGTGAACTCTACAACTGTTGATTATTCAATAAACCATCAGTGAAAATTTTGCTTGGTCTTGGGTCACTCACATTTAAGCAAAGTGAGAGTTGTTTATGTGGTTTCCCCGCCCCCCATGAAATTGGAAAGATCCAAACATTTATTAGGTTGGTCTTGTGCTCTTTTTAAGATGTTACAGTGCATGTATTCGCACAATCATTGTTTTTTCACAACTCAAAAATGAGTCCTGTGCACAACCAGGAAAACAAGCCATGCAATAATATTATTTGCGTACTAACACAAAAGTTGATTCAACATAGCTTTTTTTTACCCTGATAGAAGAACGTATTGCTGAATCCCTTCTCTTGAATAATCTTAGCCTCACCTTTTTCTGGCACTGCTTGTTGGAAAGGTGTTAGGGAATCATTGCACACTGAAATGTTCCCCTGAAGTTTGATATGATGGATTCTTTGCACATTTAATTGCACAAGTTCATGTCCACAGGGCAGTTCATTGTTTTGCAGATCCAGATGGACAAGGATTCCAGAGGCAGGAAAAATGGAGAGGTCCAGAGATTGAAGTTTGTTGTTGTTCAGATGTAGAGAGTGAAGGCTTTTCAAACCTCGGAAGCTCCTTCGATGCACATATGAAATGCCACAGCTGCTTAGATCCAAAAGGCGAAGAGCACCAAGGTTACAGAACAGAGAGGAGGAAAGAGTAGGAATGCTGTTGCTGGAAAGATTTAGGGAATGTAAGGAAGGAAAGCTTCTCAGAAAAGGTCCATGCTTGGGCATTGTCAGAGAATTGAAAGATAGATCTAGAATGGTAATGTGCATGGGAAGAAATTTGGGAGGATGGAGAAGGCTCTTTCCACTGCAGGCAGCCTGTCCCTACAAAAATATAACCACGTGTGAAATATTAAGAAATTCAACAGAATTAATGTTGCAAACTAACTTGGGAATTTTTCTTCCCACGAAGAAATCATCTCACTCAATGATTCTTGAGGAAAGATTCTTCTTCCCTCAAGAATCATTGAGTGACAACACATAGAAAGGTAGATTTTGTTCCTTCCTTTTATGTAAAACTAAAAACAGAGCTTAAAATAAAATTTGGATTATTTACTCAGTATAACTGAGCCGGCAGCACTTGTTTTGTAACACTTTCCCCATCCTTCACTTCTTTTTTCTACCATGTCCCAGTGATATTGCCTTCCTCTCACTTCCAATCTATACCTGACACAGTCTCTGTCCTATATCCCTTCTGTGGACATAGTGTGTTTTCCTGCCTTAAGTAAATAGTGCCCTCATTAGTTTTCAAGAGAGCACAATCAGACCCATTTCACCATCCATTCTACTAATTCAAGGATGAGTAAGTAGCACTTAAACACAGCTCTATGAAAAATCCTTTGAAAACTGAAAGACATTGAAGCTGTTCAAAAATCCCACAATATAGTGGCCAAGTCCAAATTTGACCAATTCGTCCCAAATAAATATCAATGTTTGGATAATAGCAAAACTTGGACAGCAAGCAAACCAAAACCAGAATTATAGTTGTGATATGAAGATGTTTCTTGCACAGATGTTAATAATGTAAAATTCCATATTGGAAATATATATACAATTGAACCAAACTTGTCATTCCCTTTGAATTGTGCAACATTTGGAAATAACTGGAAGCAGTCACTGTATCCACTGAAAAGGCTACCCTGCAAAAAAATACCCAGCCCTTCTACTCCTCCCCTCCTAAAGGAAAATAGAATGCAAATCTGTCTTTTTAATGGTGTTTGTCAAAGATGATATCTTGAATTACTTGTACCTTTTACACTGAACTTATATGTGGGAAAAATATGTGTTAATGACACACCACCCTTTAGATCTCCTCGCTTTCACCATTCCTTGTTACACATGTTCATCCCAGGTTGGAGCAATAAGCTATTTCAAGGATGCCAGTGCTTGTATAAGATGCAGTCTTTTTGAAAGAAGACTTTGATGTACTAGCTATTAACCATGGTCCGCTTATGCAGTCTTGAATGCTTCAGGGCACTACATCCGATGGCTAGATTTAAAGAAATCTAAATAGCTGAAATTTGAAGTATTTGTTCATATCATCTCAATTACCATTTTTATTATGGTAATTATGTAAATTTGAAGTTTATCTACAAAACCAGTATTTAACCAAATACAGGCATCAGGTTTTCTCACGGTCTAAGATCCTCCCATGGAGAACATTTAACTTAGTCTACAATTTATAGAAATCACTCCTTGCTTACCATTTTATCAATGTTACAAGGATGTCCAGATACTGCAGACCAAGGCAGGAGGATGCTGGAGATCCAGAGATACCAAATATTTTTCATTTTGCTTTTTAAAAAAAACTGCAGGAGAGAAAAAGAATGCAATGCACATTTGATGACAAAACGACAATCCTATGGGCCTGACCTCAACTTAACAGAATTGTAACAAGGTGAATATATATGAAAAGTAAAGCATGATTATTTTCAGCCTCCTAAAAAACTTGTACACCTCTCAGATTACCTAATTCATAAATTCTGCAAATTCATAACTGTATTAAGTGAGCCCTGGTGGTGCAGTGGTTAGAATGTAGTACTGCAGGCTACTGCTGCTGACTGCAATTTGGCAGTTCGAATCTCACAGGACTCAAGGTTGACTCAACCTTCCATCCTTCCAAAGTCAGGAAAATGAGGGCCCACATTGTTGGGGGCAATATGCTGACTCTGTAAACCACTTAGCAAGGGCTGTAAGGCACTGTGGAGCGGTATATAACTCTTAAGTGCTATTGTTGCCATTATTTAGATTATTTAAATTATTTAGAAACTACAGTATCAGATTTCATAAAATATATTCATACAATCCTGAGACAGTACTATATGTAAATCCAGTTAAAAACCATGAGTACAACTTATATTTATAATATAAATAGTGTACATGGGCATGCACCTACCATCCACAGGATTGTGGTGGTGGTGGTTGTAATATCTTATCTTGAGCGCTAATCTGATACCATGATCCAATCCTGGTTGTTTATAATTCAAGTTGAGATATCATACTGGAGTGATGTTGAAGGAGGCATTATCAGAAAAGTAAAACAGAAAATTCAAGCCAGAAAGGAAGATAAGCAAAAATAAACAAATAAAAGCACAATCTGAAATAACATTAGAAAGCTGAATAATCAAGTTGGAAAAGGACCAATTGTCTGACTTCAAAGAAGCAGGAGGTAGAAGAAAAGTCAGTTCCAATTTGGTTCAAAATGAATGTCCTGCTCATTAAGCCACATTGTGATCAGGAGGGACCACTGCATGAAATTTTGCTATATCTCTATTGCTTTTGCGGGTGGAAAACTTCTGCTTTAAATACATTGCTCTCCCCAAAAGCGACAAACTATAAAAGCAAATAACACAAACAGCTTCATAATTTCCATGTCAGCTTCTCCCCTGGTGAAGAAAAGAATGAGTTTTCTTTAGCTCTTTCAGAACAAGTAAGTTCATGCCTTAGACAGGAAAGCCAGCTAGGTGACTTTGGGCCAGTTACACTCTCTCAACCCAACTCACCTTACAGAGTTGTTGTTGGACAAAATAGGAGGAGCAAGGAGCATTAGGTATGTTTGCCGCCTTGGCTTTATAAACAATAAAGGATAAAAATGTACAAAAGCCCTTCTGTCTCATCAGCTAATTGTGATTCTTGGTTTATGGGGATGACATAAGAATTGCAAGGAATGGAAATATTGTTTATTATGATCATTGACCAACTAACATAAAACAAAAAAGCATATAGGGTAGACAATAGATCAATAAGATAACACATACTCTTACTTTAACTCTCTGGCTGAATTTTACAGACAATGAAATATTTCAAACACTTAGGGAAAAAGATATATCTGTCAGAGAATTAATTCTATAAATTAGTCATTTAAGAAAAACAATTCCTGAGAATTCTGTTATTACAGAGGCTATAAGGCAAAAACTGCTTAGGGGATGCTGGGTACTCAGCAATCTGAACAACGACTTTAAAGTCGTTGTCAGCAACTTTAAGATGTATGGATTTCCCTAACATGGAAGGGGAATCCTGGGAGTTGAAGTCCACACATCTTAAAGTCACTGAGTTTGAGAAAAACTGCTATAGAGCTGTTATGCAGAACTTTGCTGCTGTAGCTTCTTCTAAACCAGGGGTCCCCAACCACCGGGCCCCAGACCAGTACCGGTCCGTGGAACATTTTCTACTGGGCCGCCGGTTTGCTGGGCGCCGCCATCTTGTTTCGATGAGAAAGTGCTTCCAGTGAGCTTTTCCGGTTGGAAAGTGGCATTTGGGTCCTGAAGGAATCCTCACGCCTTAGTTTCATCGAAGGGGGGGGGGCGGCTTCGAACGAAACTAAGGCGCGAGGATTTTTTCAGCACCCAAGGCAAGGCGAGCCGAGTGACCGTCCCAAAGCCGTCCCAAAGCCCATCAACAAAGGTACAAAGGAGGAGTTGAAGGTGGCGGGGAGACGTGGGGGACGGCTGGCTGGCCGGTCGCTCGGCTCGCCTTGCCTTGTCATGCATGCTGATGCCGGTACCGGGCCGCGGATCATTTTGTGATGCTGGTACCGGGCCGTGGCACAAAAAAGGTTGGGGGCCACTGTTCTAAACCATCAACCTGAGTTGTCTGAGATCATTCTCACTCTATCTAGAATATCTAGTCCTAATTCAAGTTGTTGATGTCTTGAGCTGTTGTAGGTTGGCCTTGGCAGATTGACAACAGATCAGAGGTGGTATTCAGCAGGTTCTGACCAGTTCTGGAGAACCAGTAGGAGAAATTTTGAATAGTTCAGAGAACTGGCAAATACCACCTCTGACTAGAGATTTTACAGTATCTTTCCCCACCAAGCCATGCCCACAGAACCGGTAGTAAAAAAATTTGAATTCCCACCACTGCAACAGATGTCTCTATTACAGGCAGTACAAGTTATTTGTATGCTACAAATCCTTGCCTTTGTTGGAAATTGAAATCCACAACACCCGAAGGGCAATAGGTTGTCTCTTACTAATCTGATAATGTGAGCTTTAAGATTCAAACCACATGATTCTTCCTGGGTTTATCTGCCTTTCCTATCAATCATTACTGTATTTACCACAAACTGAAACAATTCTTTCTTCTGCTCAATGGTGTAAGGTAGTTGCAAGAAGAAAAAGGGGAGGGAAGGAAAAATGGGGGGAAAAGAGTTTTGAAAAAAGCAGAAGCATTTGGCTAACTCAAGTTTTTAAAAACATCACAATAAATTAGATTTTGAAGAGGCATTACTAGCTTTGCAAAATTACATTGACCTTCATCAGTCATCCAAGTTTTTAAGGACAGGTTTTTGGTGCTGATGTCCTTTCTCTCTCTATAGAACTTGGTCCCAGGTTTCCTCAGTTACGAGACACACAGACTTAAGTTCCATATTGCTTACCTTCTGCTTAAAACAAGGAGTCTGGTTTCCTGATTCTGAGCCACTCTGCCTCCAGTTTAATGGAGAAGCAAGTGTGTAGTTTCCTGTTGGAGAGGATTCTCCCATCCCCCATGTTTACATGCACACCCACACACCCTACCCCTGCCCTGTTTCGCCAAAAACTGTGCATGGCCACGAGGCAGGGCGTTTCAATCTGAAATATTTATCCTGCTTGTATACTTTTCACTGTTCTCCAAATACTCCCTGCAGGGAGAAAACTATTTACCTCAGAGCTCATGCCAGGCCCTCTGCTTTCTCCTGGGTGCTCTTCCTTCCTGGGACCGTGCACTAGGGGAGTGGCAGGTGCCTAAGAAAATGGAAGGTGAATGTGAAAAGGGTGAAAGGTAATGAAGCTGGTTACACATTAACTGAAATCGGCTTCTCTGGGTTTTTTTGGAATGATTGGAGAAACATGGTCAACTTAAGTAGCACAATTGGAGGAGGGTTGTGTATAGAACGCCCATGCTTGTTTACACCAGCCTATGCATTAACTCTGGTTTCCTAATCTAAAACATATGTATGTGCATGCCTGAAGGATAACAATTCAATTACAGAGCTTATCTTTTTTTGTGCAGGGGTCCAAATGTTGTGAATCAATAAAAGTGAATAACCTAAATGCAAATTAGGGGTTGA